AGCTGTCTTTAGGACTGTGTAAACCAAAGCTGTTCAGTTTCTTTATGATACGTTTTCTCCAGTATGATAGATGGTTAGGACTATGATTTTGTTTGGTTTTTAACTCAGCAGCCTGCCTTCGTGGTGATATATTACAATGGCACACTGTCTAGCTTATAATCATCATCTGTACATGACTGGTTAAGACATGAAGTTTAGATTTTGTCAGCTGCAAAGCTGAAGTCTGTTCTTAAATCCCTTTGCTATTACTTTTCATTGACCTATTTTTATTAACCTGTTTATTTACTTTGGTTGTGAAGCCTTGTCTTGGCTTACATAAAAGACAAGATTTTACAGTCTTGCCAAAAAGTGTATCTGAACATCTTTAGAAAGGAAATATGTGCTTTTTCTGATGGTCACTGATTGTAAAGTTAGGTGTAAACCATAGTTAACTTGAAATCAGTTGAAAGAAATAAGACTGAAAAAATAGTCGTCTTTCTGTGGCAGTGATGAAATAATCATGGATTATTGTACTCATCAGTCATTTTGTCTGTACTTCACAAAGTGTTGAGATGTTGGAAGCAGTTTAAAACAATGTTGTAAGAGATCTTCCTGACAGTGAGACTTGGTGCTCACTGTATTGTCAAAGAAGTCTAAGACTTGACTTGATCACACTAAATACTTTCATGAGGAGGAAGCTGCTGATTCCAGTGGACTTCTTAGTCTATTAGACAAAAGAAGGATATATTTCTCTGTCTAGAAGGGAAAGCTGTCTTGAATTGGATATAATACACTATTTCTTGAATGAGGATGATTAGTGGGAAATCCTGCCTTGAGGTGCGACAGCATTTTTATCACTTGAAAAGACATAATTGGTCTTCGACTTACAGAATGTATGCTGTAATTTGCCCAGTGCTTTAGGGTTGTGTTCTGCAGTAGTCAAACTAGATTATCATTACAGCCACATATGAATTTAAAATCCATACTTCCTTCAACTCTTACACCGATTTATATATTAAGACTTTGTAAAGAAAATACCAAGATAGTTGTTTTTAACATTCATTAGTAATTTGTCATTTTTGAGGGGGAAGTGGGGGAACGAGAGCTTAAATAATAATACATTATAAGTAAACTGATCTAAAGCTTTAAACCGATTGAGTTGCACTAATGCAGTCCAGAGAAACCACTTTTGCTGACTGGTTATGGTTTGCATTCAACACAGAAGACAAAAATCTCATCAACAAAATGTGACCTTCCTTATATTTAATTCCAATGTCTTGTATCTGTTGAAGTTGGTGATAAAAAAATGTAGCTGCTTTCCATATTTCCTTAAACCTTCAGTGCCGATGCACTCAAAGATCAGAGGAACTGTATTTTTTTTCATACGCCACAATTCAAATACTGGTTTACTACATTCAAATCAAGCCTATCGGTTCAAACTCATTGGAGACAGCTTAGTAGACTTGGCATCTGCTTTTGTCTTTTGGATCATGGTGGGTTAGCCCTGGCTAACAGCCAAACTCTCATCCAGCTCCAGAACCGTCATCATCTCAAGCTGAATGTGCAGTTGGAAAGTCCGTGTATATTTGTGAAAGCACAAATGCATGTGTTTGTAGGTATGCCTGCAGTAGGGAATGCATGTGTACACAGCAAGACAAAAATTTTGAGCATTCCTCCTCCCCTTGCAAAGACCGCTTTTTCTGATGCTACTTCTTTCATCACTGAGATCATCCATGCCATAAAGGTAGCTAATAGCATGGAATTAACATTCTTAACACAGTGCCCACCTAATGGTCTACATTTTTTTTGAAGAGACTGCCATTTCAGCCTTGAATGGAAGTTGTTGTTGATGTGCTATTTTTCAGATACAGAGGTAAGGTGATGTAACTGGGCACTGAGATGAAAGCTTATATAGGATAAAGTAAATCCCTGTTAATGTCAGCTCCCTTGTGCTATTTTCTGTTCCAAATGTAGCAGTTTTATTTATATTTACATAATTGAATGCTGTAGTTGCTTTTTTGTCTGTTTAATACTGTTTAAAATAGAAATCTGAAGTAAATTTTATTTGAATACGGTTGTAACTATTTTGTTTTTTCAGTAGACCTCAAATAGACAGCAGATATCCCTAGAACGTACACTCAGAGGAGGAAGGAAGGGAGAATACAATTGTATTTGTTACCTGGTGTGGGTTTTTTGTTCTGTTTTTGTAATGGATGTCTACAGTTAGTTTCAGTTTATTATAGTACCTCTCCAGCTAGTGAAGCAGAACAGCTGTGGTTTATCCGAAGTCTCTCTAAACAATTAAGCTGCTGTTATGAAAATGTTTCTGATGAGGTGAGTTTTAAAACATTACTGAATAGAAAAATCGCACCAATTTGCTAGAGATACCATTTGCTCATCATTATCTTAGAAATGTTTGTTATATACTTGTGTTTTCCCAAGGATGCTTGACCCATCTTGCCATAGTGTGCGTTGATTTCCAGGTGGAATAATAGTCATTTTTTCCTGTTGTGTTGTTTTGGGGTTTTTATGGGGGGGAGGGGATAAGAGGAGGCAAAAGGAAAACAGAAAAATGTGACTGCAAAATGATGCTCTGTGAGTCAGTTTTACTTTGAAAATGAATGCTTTGATGCTTTGTCACAATGATCTGTTTCTTACACATGCTGTCATTTCTCTCATTCAGCAGTGAGCAGATTCTCCCCACCTCATAGTTAGGATTTCAAAACTGTGTTACAGACTTCCTCAGAGATTAATTGAAATCATCTTGTTGCTTCTGTGGGGATGTGGTGTGTGCAAAGGTGTGGTTATTCATTTATTTGTGTAGACGGAGGGGCATGGCAAGGAGATCTCCGAACTGTTACAGAAAAGAGAGGGAGCTCAATGTGAAAAGTTTGAGAACTTTTGTTTTCGGTAGAAAAAGCAGAGTGGTGGCTATTGTTGCAGGGAGCTGACTTATATTAATGGGTAGTCACAAAAGCCACATTGCATAGGAACACTCGACCTTATTATCATGGCCTTAATTCAGAAAAGCTCTTGAACAACTGCAGCATTAAGCATTTTATAATGTACAAAAACTTGGAAAAAATGGAAAAACTTAGTGATGACCATAATCAAACCTTTTACAGTCTTTCACTTTACTGAAGTGAAATTTTCACTTAGGAAAGTAGCTAACAGTAAAGAGTTAAATAAAAAGAATGTCATGCATGTGTATGTGATTCTAAATCCAGAAGTGTTACATTTCCTTTGCTGGCATTAGTTTCTGCTGAATATACAGGATATATATGGTGAAGACTAAACCCTTCTGTTATTGGTCTGAAGTGTTTTAACAGAAGTGTGGCATGCTTTGTTGAAAAGACTGGAAGTTTTAACAGATGAAAGCATATCTATTTTGTTCTTACTGGATATTTTTCTGCTGACCCCTTTGAGTTGTATTGACCAGCTTTATTAACAGAAATTATATCTGGAATTAGACTTTCTTTAACAAACTGTAGTATGTAGAGTAGTGGTACATGATAGAATTCTGTCTGCAGCAAAAGCGCATTTTTTTTTTCCCCCGAACGTATTAGTTGGCATTTATTAGTGATGGCTCCAGTCTTAATAGCTCTTGCTGGGGGGAAGAGTGGATAGGAAACTGCTGAAAGGTGCCATCTTCTGGCTCTCATGTGTTAGCAATTCTCTACTTGCTGCTGCTGTGAGAGATGGAATCTAATATTGTCAGAGGGTGTAGACTGAATATTGAATATTCAGAGAAATGCAAGCATAATGAGATATTTCTGCTGGAATTATTTTATTCTTCCTGTGCTTTTTGAGATCCTCCCCATTCTCAACCCAGCTATTCAACACCCAACTCCTTTAGTGGCTATGCTGAAATTTACCCTTTCCCCTTGCAAGTGTGGTGAGTCTCAGGGGATTCATGCTTCATGGGAGGGCTTGTGCTGGCTTTCTCCAGAGGTACTTGATAGAAAGAGGTGTTTAGGAGAGCTTGTGTTTCTTGAAGTCACCTACAAGTCCCTTTGCTTGAGGGAAGCAGATGAGGCGTCTGGTCTGCCGTTTGTTCTTTTCCAATTAACAGTTCTGTGCTGTTCCCCATAGAGCCTGTGAAAAGAAAAGGTGTGGCTTGACCAACCTTAGCCAGGAAATTAGGAGAAAGCTTTGTTTAGAATATGTGACAGTAAATATTTTCATTATTCACAGCTCTGCAATCTCTATGGGAAGATACTAACTCAAGGATGTTACTTAATACAGAGTTCTCACATCCTTTCTTTCTCTCTTCCCCGCCACCCTCCCCTAAAATTGGTAGTACTAATGCAACACTTTTTTCTCATTTTTTTTTAATTTTCATTCCCACTTTCTTTGTCATTAAGGGCAATTACTTCATAATACCACTAAGATGTATCCTAACAGTAACACATATCTTTATGTGTTACAAAAGCATAAAAAGATAAAATAGGAGAAGATGATAGATCTTTGTCTAGAATACTAGGTGTATATAATGGATTTGATACAATGGCAAACCAAATTGCTGGAAAAACAAGGGCAGATTTGACCGTAATTGAACCAGCCATTATTTGCACTACCTATTTTTTGAAGAATAGTTGTTTGAACATTTGACAGCTGTAATTGCCTTATATAGGTTTTGTTCGTATTATTTAGTACAGGCTGTCTATTTTGTTGGTATATGTAGACTACAACTCTATTTTGACAGGAGCATTGAGTAGCTATGCACTGGTGGTACACAATTCTGTTTCTATTGGCCTTTCTCTTTTAAGTGAAATTGAAATCTTTATTGCTCTTCATACTTACAAGCTCTATTTTTTATCAGCTGTGAGACAAAATTGAAGGCTTTTTTTGTTGTAGCAGACCAACCTTGAAAACTTAATAAATGGATTTTTATTTTGCTTATAAGAGGTCTTATTAATAAAAAGCTTATGCTGTAGTTAGAAGAAGGAACATGAAGTATGCGGCCTGTATTTTGACCTCTATTTTGTCCTCAATTGTGTAATTGCTTCCCTGTTTTTCAGTTTGACAATTAAAGATCAAGATGGCTGTGCTTTCCTGTCACTAAAAAGCTGGGGTAGTTGGGTAGAAGATCTCATGACATTTCAGCGTCTTCTGTATCTAACATATGCTGGACTCCTGCGACAGAGAATATGGGATGCTTTGGCCAGTAGTGGCTTGAGTTGAGCAGATCAAAATCTTGGTGTTTACTCCGTAAAAAGCCAAGTTGGGTCTAGCAGGCCTTACTAGCACAGGCTCAGTGCCATATGAACACAGCGATGGTGTTTGTGGGGCCAACTTGTACCTGCAAACGGTTAATGGCTTTTGTGCAGCAAAGAAACTGAGTTATCTCTTGTGTCTGCATTCATGGCGCAGTTAACCCACACCCAAGCCATTCAGCTGTAATTGAGAGTTGACTGAGCTTACTTTTCATGAAACTTAGTAGTTAGAATTTTGAACTTACTGTTAGGGAGAATTAATTCAAATAAGATCCTTTTGTATTTAGATTTCACTGTCTTTTTGTCACCTCTTACTCTTTGACTTTTTTCGTTTAAAGCAAAACTCATCATGCCTTCCTAATTTCGCATCAAAGGTGTATCAAACTCTTGCAACAAAATCTAACATCATGCATCAAAAACTTGTCCTCATTCTCTGTTATTGCAAACAGCAACTGTTTGACTCCTTGTCATTTCTAAATCAAGCCAATACACACAAATTACTCTGGTTTCCACCATTAACACATCTCTTCAGGTCATCCTTTTTCTGTTGTTATCACTAAAAATACAAACAGATGTTTCTCCTGAAGAGATTGGTAATTATTCAAATAACGCGTGTAAGCACCCTTTGAATAAGGCATATGAACACCCTCTGAATACAAGACTTCATGTGAGAGAATTACATACATTACTCCTGTCAGAAGTATGACATGCACAGATGTGTTGCAAAATTGAACTGTGTCTGTCTTAAGGGTTACAACAGCTGAGCTTTCAGATTTCGAAGAATATTTTCACGGCCCTTCACCCCTTCCCATAATGAAAGTGTAACTTCTGCAAAAATAGAAGAGACCACCTAAGAAGAAATTGAGATTGGGTATATCACTAAGTACTGGTTTAACCTAACCTTCATTCAGATTATTTTCTTGAAGGATCTGATGATTTTTTTTTTTTACATTTACAGGTCTAATTACAACCACATCTAGAAAACTAGATCGAGAGCAGCAGGGAGAGCACATACTGGAGGTAAATAATTTCTTTAGTTCTCTGAAAAACAGTGACTGTAAGTTCATTGCTCTTTTACAGAGAGTTAAGTTTGCCATACTTGATTACTATATTAAGAATTTAGAGAACTGGATTTCAGAAGTAATTTGCTTCTATGTTCATTATATTGCAATGCACAAAACTACCTACCTTATAATAACAGCGTGTTGGGACTTTTTCTTAAAAAAATAGTTAAGATATGGATAGAAGGCAATTTTTTGTTTTTGTATCTGTAAACCAAGATTTTCTTTCAAACAGTGCAAGGGCATGATTGTTAAAAGGAGGAGTGCAATTCTTTTTTTTTTTTTTCTTCTTCCTGTGTAATTATTGGAATTGCTATTTCAGCCTGCCTTTTGCTGAATATAGACCTCTGAAAAAGAAATGCAGAATCTTTTTTTAACGTTGAGAATACAAACAGGTTGTGAGTAGACCTTTTCTTCTGCATAATACATTTATCAATCACATAAGTAGATAACTTGCAAAATATGCCATATAGATTTAGAGTCCAAGAGCATGAAATTAGTGACATAATTCTTTTATTTAGCTACATTTAATCAATTGCCTGGAATTTATGTAATAGCTATTCTCATTCTCTCTCAAACAACATGAAAGAAAAACATGTAGACAACTGGGAGTCTTCCAGTTTCACAGTGTTGTTATGTAGTGTGACAGCATTGTACTTCACCTGCAATGAAGACTTAATATTCACAGTGATGCTTACATACTAAGATTTATCTGGAACCTTTATTATGCCTCTCCTCCTGGATGATAGCTAAAGGATGCATGGGAGTTGGCAAAACTAACATTAAAGCTAGAGAAGCAAGCCTGGATTTACTCAAAACTTGTGAAACCTTTTCTAGGTTTTCTAATAGGAATTAGAAAGGTTTTCTAATAGGAATGCAAGGACTGCGTAGACTTGGAGGTGAATGGTATTTCTTGATAGCACAGACTATCCTTTTGCAGAACTTCAGTGTACATACAGTCTTCCTGGCCCTTTTCTGTCCCTTTGGTGCATTGCAAGCTGGATTAATGCAGCTGTGGGACCAAATTTTTATCACTATTTTTATTTCTGTGTCAGCTTTGGAAAGAACTCTTTGCACATAAGTAGCAATAGGGTGGAATTCCCTTTGCAGTGTGTTTCTAGTAGTGGTAATAGCAAAGTTAATTAATTGGCAAATCTGGTTCAGTACTAGACACGTTATTCCTGTAAATTGTAAAGTCACTATAATACTCTCTTTTTAAATTACCTCCTTGTGTCAGTTTCCCAAAGCACTTCATGTCAGTTATATCTTATTTCTTGACCACTGCTATGTATATTGGTTGTAAAATTGCTATCTCATTACTTTTACTCCTATGCATATTGTACTGGCTTTTGTATTCGGTTTATACAGTAAATAAAATGAGCTGTGGATCGTTCTCTGACCCTGAAGCCATCTGGCTTTGATTGCTTATATCTTATCCCTGGAACAGGGTGGACATGTCCAAGTTGCCCATTGAGAATGGTGCCTGAATTGTGTGAATTCTCAGGCTGCAGCTAGGCAATGTGTGGGAGTGTGCTACTTGTTCTGGGAGAGGTCATACTAGCAGTGTGATGTTATGGGCAGTTGTCTTCTAGCAGTCATGCCTGCTAATTTAATCTGAGTTATTGCAAGATAACATGTACAGAACTCAGTTTTTTTTAAGGTTACAGTATCACACAGTGGTACATAAATCCTCCTGGTTTCATCATTCTCTATAAAGATAGTAGATTAAGCTGATTGCTCTTTAGTTTGGAATATTGGTTATTGCCTGCTGGTATCATTTATAATTCTTCATTCTTCCTTCATTTTGAATCCCAGCTGGTTGTTAAAGTTTTAAATAAATGTCTGCGAAGTATCCAACGGAAGAACTCTTAACTACAGAGCAAGAATGACAGACAGCACAGCCCAAAGTAGCAGTTTTCCCATTTGTTAGTTTTATGTTGACACCTTTGAAAATAGGTTGGAAAGAAACCAGAAATGCACAGAATGGTGGGCAATATTATGAGCCAAGTGCTGAGCATCTGGCTAATTAATTGAGCATTGAAATATTGACCAGATGGGTTGGTGGGTTTATTCCTTGTTTGTTATTAAATTTGATCCTTGATTGCACTCCTGCTTACATAATAGTAATTAATATGCCCCATTCTTTTATTCCCAATTTGTAACTATTTTCTGAGTGCCAGTTGGCACTTTTTTTATGCAATTATTTTAGGTTAGTTTCATGTTATTCTCTCGTATCTTAGTATTCTATTTGTTATGTCAGTAATGCCTTCAAAACTGATGTTGCATTCAAGTCAAACTAGATTTTCCTCAGATTTGCCATTTTTTTCCTGCTTGGCTCAGGGCAATGCTAATTTTATGTTAACAGACAAGTTATTCCATACCCCTTGGCATTTTCTCTTTTGGGGTGTGTTTTGTTTTCTTGTAAACTGAAAGATACGTGGTGGTGTTCCATTACAAGTACTAAAGGGAACAGATACTCATATAGGTGGAAATCCTGCCATCTGTTAGAGATGAACATGAATATTTGCATTTCATGTTGCATATCATGTGTTTTGTTGTGGTTAATCACTTTACTCGCATTTTTTCATTTCCTTCATGCTTGCAAGTTATACCACGTTTCATTTGTATTTCCATTTTTTTTTTCCTAAAATAGATGAGAAAGGACAAAAAAAAAGAATATCTGATCATGTCCTCATTCATGTCAATGTAAATTCATTTTTTTCATCAGGGATTCAATTCTAGTCTTCCATTAGTATTCATTTCATTATTTTATACCCATGTTATCCTTGAATCCTTATGTTTTTCCGTAGTCAAATTTCTCAGGGCATCCTAAGAACCAGTAGAGGAATTCACCACCCACATTCTTGAAGAAAAAGACTTGTTCTCCCCTAATTGGGGTGGTTTTGTTGGAACTGGAATATCTTGTATCAGTGGTGTGTAGCATTTTTTATTTGTGTTAAGCGGGGGGGGGGGGGTTTTTGTTTAACACCCTCCACAGCACTGATCTTAGAGAATCATTTAGGTTGGAAAAGACCTTTAAGATCATTGAGTCCAACCATATATCTTCCCTATAATGTTTTCCCAGTGCTACTGTAGTGACTGATTTCTATACAGAGCTTCCTCCCAGCAAAGACTTGCATCTTCCTCACAAACTCAAAACTAAAATGAAACTGCAGTGTGTAACACATTTCCCATAGAATTTGTTAGAACGTTGCGTGTTTAGTTGTTTGGGGTTTTTTTTGGCATTCCTCTACAGCTTTGACAAGTATCTGGTAGAATTAGATAAGCATATCTCAGTTTATCAGTTTCCTCTAATTACAGCAGAGCTGGCGTAGGTGACCCTCGGACATCCCCTGTGTGTTTCTATGTAATAATAAGGAAGGGAAATTAAGTCAAGAAAGATTTTAAAGGAGGGGGGGAAAAAAAAGGAGTGAGAAAAAGAAAGTGAAGGGGAGACCATAGAAAGGCTGAGGAAGAGTGCTGCACTGGGTCATAAAATAGTTCTTAAAATGAGAGAGACAAGGATTAAAATTTTACAGCTAAAACCAAAATGAACCCAACAGCAAAGAGAAAGTAAGGAAAAGAACATGAAAGATTGACAAAGAAAAGAAGGTCTTTATCCATCATTATTCCTTGTGCCTTTAATGCCAATTTTTTTGAAAACATCCCCTTCAGAAACTGAGATTTAGCCAAAGTGCTAGAGGTCAGGTAGTACTGTTATCAGTGAAGATTTGTATTTGTTTTAAATGCTTTATGTAATAGCAGCTAAACTCTCCCTTGAAAATGCCTGGCATCTGTCTGAGCCCATTAGCTTTTATGTGGATGGCGGGGTACAGCCAGAAAATGATGGGCCTGATTCTGTAACTCTTCTACTAACCAAGCTCTTGCAGGAAGCAGGAATATAAACCCCCTATCTTTTTCTTCTTTGAAATAGCTGCTAAAGTAATTTACATATGCTCATATTTAACCCCTTACTAACCAATAAGGGATTAAATAGGTAAGAGTTAAGGTAATAAGGTAAGATTCCTATAAATGAACTAAGTTTTTCCATCAGTTTGATCCTTTTCCAGTAGATAAGGATTTCTTTTTCTCTGTTTTCTGACTTCAAATGAATATAACTCTTACTTTTGTTATATTTTTGTTTACTACCCATGCCAATAACATCAGATCAGTCCTAGAATTAATATTGTAGAAGATTTTGTACTCATTTTCTGGCTTTTTGGTAGAAATTTTGACTACTGCTGGAAGAGCAGACTTGGTTTAATTTCCCATTTCATTTAGTCCATGGAAATAGATTGTTGCATGTCTTCCTTAAAAAGCAATTTTTTACGCTTCTTTCAAACAATATAGTGATTTTATAGGGGGGTTTTAGTGCATAGGCCTGTCAAATTCTGAAACTTACATTCTTATGAATTGCATCTTTTGAGGTGTAAAATCAAATTATTGAATTGAAAAGTTGCAAGGAAACACTAGGCTGAAAGTATATTAAGATACTACTACAGTGAAGCTGTTATCAGCGATACTATAAATGTGTGCTGTTCCTGTACTCAATATTTCAGTCACAATGCTGCAAAATAGTAAAACAGATTTAATATGTATCTATTGACTCCTACATGCCATACATCAAGCGTCAAAATGTTAAGATAGTAACCGAATAAACTTTTGTAATGCCTTTCGTAAATACTCCCCAAATAGCTTTACATAGTGGTCTTTAAGTAACTGAAGTTAGGAAATTACTTTACAGTTGTCAAAAAATGATTTTAAAAGAGCATCGTTGGAAAGACCATGTTTGAATTGAGCGCTAACCATATCCTTTTTAATAAAAACAGGTAACAGTAACAGACAACGGTACTCCTGCAAAATCAACAATTGCACGGGTGATTGTGAAGGTCTTAGATGAGAATGACAATAAGCCTCAGTTCTTGCAAAAGTTCTACAAAATCCGGCTTCCAGAGCGTGGTAAGCCAGAACGAGAGAGAACTGCTAAGAGAGAGCCGATCTATCGAGTTATTGCTGCAGATAAAGATGAAGGCCCCAATGCAGAGATCTCTTACAGCATTGAAGATGGTGATGAACATGGCAAATTCTTTATTGAACCGAAAACCGGAGTGGTTTCATCAAAGAAATTTTCTGCAGCAAGGGACTATGATATCCTTTCAGTGAGTCAAAATCTTGTATATCATGAATACATGAAGTGTTCTTTTATCTGTATTCTCATCACTTCTTATTCAGTAGCTGGCAGATGAGTGACTGCAGTATCTGAAGGAAGAAAGCTTCAACAAATCCAGAAGTATTGTTTTGTGGGCTTGTTTGTTTGGGTTGTTTTTTTTAAAGGACGATTTCAGATGTTTGTATTGAGAAAGTGAATGAAGAAGCTGCTGTTTTTTTCCAGAACTTGACAGATAATGAACATGATGAGGGAACATAAACAATCAGTTTGACTCTCTTTCAGGCAGAAAGCAAAATAAAAGTGAATTTATGGTAACAGTTTGTGCTACTATCAGGTGCTGCATACTTTTTCTCTATTTGCTGCCCAGATAATGAAGGGCAAGTGGCACTTTGAGAGACACTTAACCTTTTTGGATATATCTCACACAAGCAAACATGCTTGGAGCTTATTACTACTTTTCCATTTATGTGACATAATGATTTATGTGATCCTGTAGCCTAAAAGATGTGTCTGTTTCACAGATTAAAGCTGTAGATAATGGTCGTCCACAAAAATCGTCAACTACACGGCTTCACATAGAATGGATTCCAAAGCCCGTCCCACCCACAGAGCCCATTTATTTTGAGGAAGCGTTTTTTTCTTTTACGGTGATGGAAAGTGACCCAGTTGCTCATATGATTGGCGTAATAGCTGTTGAACCTCTTGGAACACCACTTTGGTTTGACATAACGGGTAAGGATGCCTTAAGGGCTTTTATTATTAGAAACAAATGCATGGCGTCTGAGATACTGGAGGGCTCATTGCAGCTTGGTTTCTTAATCGCTCTTCTAAATAATGCAAGGTTTTGGCATTCGTTAGCTGTAGATGCATATTTTTCCCCTTATTTCATTATAAATCAAGATGACTTAATTTTTTATCAATGCCATTATATATCAAAGATTAAAATTACGTTGCAAAATACCTACTGTGTTGCAGTTTTGGAAGTGACTTATGATATTGTGTCAGTGAAGTTAAAACTAATCAAATCAATCTCATAGACTGTAGGAGAGGGAAAGAAATAAGATGCCAGTTTTCTGCAAATCGGGATAGTACACCCAGAGAGATTATACTGTTCACTGTTGGGCTGCTTCTCAGTTTGCTGTCCCTTGATTCAATACTAAAAGGAAAGCTTGCAATGTTCCTAACCCCAGGAAACTTCTTCCTGTACATATTCTTACTACTATACCATACCTTAGCCTCTACCATTGAAAGGGGAATTCTAGTCAGTAGTACGACTATACATTGATGCTGTGGTGACAAAATGAATAGTACTTTTTAATTTTAGGCTTAGTCACTAAACCTATGAGCACCAGGAATACAGAGAGTGTTCACTGTATAGCTGCTACTAAAACCAAGTTCTGTCCTGTGTTATGTGCTTCAGAATCGAGGAGAATAGCACAGCCTTGTTTCAGGGGAGGTATCTAGTAGTCAACTGTTTCTGGTCTTAAGATAGCCCTATCAGATTGGGATTTTTCCACCGCGTTCACAAGAGAGAGAAGGAACCTTTTCACCTTGGTTACTGCTGAAAATTTTAGCCATGATTGTGGTGTTAAGTTGTTGGGGAGAGCATTTTAAAAATTATTTCTTAAAAAATTAATTATTCTTAAGGCCTGTTTTGATGGTATATATTTCCTAAGGGATGCTGAGAACAGCAACAGTTAAAAACAAAGTTTGTAAAACTGATACATGTAGGAATATATAAATGCCAAATACTTGAGAGTGTTCTCAGAAAACTTTCAAGCACACAAGAACAAACATAACTCTCCCCTAAATGCATGCTTCATGCATGAACAACCAGTGATGATATTGATAATAATTTCTAATGTATTAAATATTTACATAGATTTTTTTTAATGATTCTTTCTGATGTATTCTGGAGAAAAAAATGAGTTCTTGTCCAAATAGATCATAGTTGAATAACAAGTGTTTGCATTTAGACAAACCGAGGGGTTTAGCGATCTGTATAACTGTGTAGAGGGAGTCAAGAGTTCAAGATGCCTCCTTGTGTTCTTATAGGGGCAAAGTTCTCTGCATAAGAACTGAGCATTTGGAACTGAGGCTGCTCTTTTAGTGTTCTCCCAAACATACACACACATAGACTTGGAGTAGAAAACCAGAAAATACAAAAATAACTTAAGTTAGCAGGAGGGAGGGGAAGGTTCCATGTGCTCCAATTCAAACAGGGTTATCCAGTCAACAATAAACAAACATCTGTAGACCAAAAAAAGTCCCTTAAAGGAAAGGTTAAGAAAGGGATATTGTCAGAAAAAGGTGAGTGGTTCACGGAGATGAAAGAGAGTAGATAGAAAAATATCATAGAATCATAGAATCATTAAGGTTGGAAAAGACCTCTAAGATCATCAAGTCCAACCGTTAACCCAACACCACCATGCCCACTAAACCATGTCCCTAAGCGCCACATCTACACGTAAAAAGGCCTCAGAGGTCTTGAGAGTTTCCAGAGAGGACAGCAATGGCGTTTCCTGGGGTCTTTAATTGGCAAAATTTGTTAATTAGATTGGGGATGCACTTTTCTATTGTTCTTTTTAGTTTGCTTCAACTGCTGTGCACTGTGAACAGTGTGTACATCTGAATAGAATTCTGATTATAGTATTATTTTGATTTGCTCTTTCTAAGCATGCAGCACAGTTTGGCCATTTATGTAATTCTTATTGTATGTTTAAAGCAGAAAATAGGTGATTTTTCCCTGCTATTTTTAGAAAGACATATACAGAAAACTCCAAGGGGAAAGAGCAGAACTTGTCCGTACAGTGTAAAATAAAACCATTTTATTTTGACTGTCTTCTTAGTAAAAGTGTTTTGGAAAGTTTAATATGTGATCATGTTGTGAAGTTATCAGCTACTCTTACAGGTGCTCACTTTACTGCCCTCTTTTACTGTTTCTAATAGCATGAATTAATTTGATTGACAGCTTTCCTTTGTGTTCTGTGCTTGCTTTCCATGCTTTCTTTCTTTTTGGCTGAGCCAGGAGACAAGCTTGCTAGTGAAGTATTTTACATCTTTCAGATGGCTTGTGACCTGAACTGTACAGCAGAAGGTATCTGCTGAGATCACATAATTTATTACCAGATTATGAGATCTGAAATGAAAACGTACATTTATAAAATATTTATTTTATTAACCCTTCGGAAATCAAAGTGCTCACAGTTGCATTTGTGACAGGTTCGTTTTTGTTTTGTTTTGTCATCATTACATTTATACAGCATCAATTCAGAGCATCCAGTTTTGGCTTTGGCCAAAACTGTTGCTGTTACACTTTCAGTGTACCAGATGCAGAAGTTTGGGTTGAGTTCTGCTTCAACAGATTACCAGATATCACCACTACTACAAAAATTAAGCAGGGTCTTTGTGATTTCCTTGATAAGGAAGAAAAAAAGGTTGGTTAGAGAGCTTGTCCTTTTATCAGGGAAACTGAATGAACAGATTCATACCCATTCACCCTACTCTTCCCTTAAAATGGAGATGACTTCATTGAGACAATAAATTCTCCTCTCCTAGCCATCTGAGAAAATGGTATCGCATGCCAGCTATAAAAGGAAAGTTAGAGACTCACTTTCTGAAGTTAACATCTTGCACAAAGCCCATTAAAAAAATTTCATATACACCTGTTTAAAAAAAAAAAAGGCTGCTGCCTCTCATGCTGTCCAGTTTATATCCATTCATGTGATTCAGAAACTGCTACTGGGCCAGTAAGAGGAGTTGGCTTTCAGTGAAACTAGAAAAATTACATTATTTTTGTCATTATCAAATATCTTAAATCCAGTGAAGCAGAATCCAGCCCATTTTTCCTGAACTGGTATGTCTGTCATGCAATGGAACCTTCTGAAGGTGAAATCCTTTTTACATGTGAATGGGGGGACCATTTCAGTATTTACTGTTCTTTCTTGGATTAAGTATAAATTTGCAACCTTTGGAACTTCACCCTCTCACTTGTAGCCTTGGCTTTTCATAAAAGACATTCAGTGATTTACAAAACATAGCATGTAAAAACTCATTTTAAAAAAAAAAAGCACTCATGATATCTGAATGCTATCCTTGTAAAATATAATCAGAAAAACACATGCATATAATTAGGAGAAATTGGTTTGCCATATCTAGCACTGGCTTCACCAAAATAAAAATTGATTCCTCCATTTTAGGCAGTCTATTGAGAGGTCTAAAGCAATTGTAGTTAAATGGAGGTGTTTATCATTGCTAACAATATTTAGACTTAATGGACATTGTATTCTCATGACAGTCTGCTCGGGGTGGCATGATGATGATCAATTAAATGTTTAAATGACTAAGTATAGCTATTGATCTACATGGTTATTTAACTATATTTCAAAGGGTAATTTGAAAGTTTCACAAGGGAAGTTAAGATAATGTGCTTCAGAAAAGGAGCTTGGCCATATTTAAACACTGGGCATTTAATCATTTAGCACTCATCTGAGTCCTGCTTATCTCAGTAGAAGTTAGTGAGTTCTTTAGATACTCAGCGTTGAGATGAGAATCCTTTGGAGGTACTGTAGCTTTTTCAACCTTATCTATAGTCATATATGTGTATAGTAATTTGTACTCTGATCCAAAAGACACAAATTTGACAGTATTTCTGATTTGGGATTTTGATTTATTTTGATAAAAAGTATATTTTTTCACTAATTAGCCTGACTGCACAGAATAAACTATCACATTTCACCTAGTAATTCTCAATTTCCTGCTATTTGGAATCTTTGAATTCTGGTTTAAAAAAGAAGTAGAGAATCTTGCTAAAAATCTACCTGCTAACTTTCCATGAGCCAGACAAATCAGCTTTATCCAAAACTAATCAGTTTTGTATATCTGTAAGTAGCAGCATATCACGTAACCAGAAAAAAACAGAGGGTTTAAAATAAGTGTATGTATAAGTATACGTGTATATAGTTCCACCTTCATTTAAGCATCTGAAGACAGAACATGATCATACATGAAAATAATGCAACAGTGCTGTGTTTTATGAACTTCTCCCTCTCCCAATTTCCTGAACAAGGTGGCAACTATGACAGTCGATTTGATGTGGACAAGGGCACTGGAACTATCATTGTCGCTAGACCTCTTGATGCCGAACAGAAATCAAATTACAACTTGACAGTAGAGGCAACAGATGGAACCAGATCTATCAGCACTCAGGTAATGGACTTTCTAATGAAGCCCTTATAGAAGAAGAAATTTGTAGCTGGGGCGTGGGGAGGGTGTTGCATTTTCTCCTTACGGTTTTTTCATCCTGGACAATGAATATGGTTTATATAAATTAGGGACTCTGTCTAAAATAGAAGTGGATTCCGATACTCATAGAGCCATGTTGTTTGGCGGTCCAGGTGGAAGATTGTGCATTACTATGCTATAGTCTGAATCAGCAGCTTTTAAGTTATATCATGTTCCTGCATTAGCTGAGTAAATGAAAACAGAAACTAAGCCCTTCCATGCATGATTTACTCACAAGAAAAGGATTAGTACTTCTTATCTGAATTACTCCTCTTTATCCAGCTCCCCCAAAATCACGAAGTAATATGATTACTTTGCTTGAAATTTAAAAGACCATTGTAAGGTTCTTTGGTTCCCACCCCCCCAAGATCTGTGGATGTCAAATTGTACAATGTCCAATTACCATTTTATGAAACTGAGCTGCTACTTCTGCATGGTATGCATATAGAAACAAGGTTTAGATGATAACATCTCTGTGTATCTTCCTGAGTACTTTCTTTTAGCTTCAGTGGAGGTAGTGATTGCCAAACACTCTCCAAAAAGCAGTAATCTTAGACCAAATTTTTTTCGAAATACCGCTCTACTAAGGCTCCATGGTGGTGGCAATTCTTTGCAGTTGAACTAATAAGTTCACTTTAAGGCAGAAGCGTTTTGTGACACTGCTGGAAAGAACTCATAGTGAAGTAGGTTATGATGTGTATCCCTCCTGGTTTTCCCATCTAGTTTCTTCCCCCAGCCCAGAACCTGAATATATTTGGAAGTAAGGTTTAGCTGAGGTTGGTGTGAACGGAGCCACGAGCATAGAGGAGCTCTGCTTTTCTTCCAAATAGAAAGGAAGTGATTTATTTACTGATTTAGACTGTTGGATTGGGATAGTGATGTGTCTGTGTTGTCTACCCCTGTCATTGACCTACCACTCAGGAGCTCAAAGAGCAATAAGTAGGTTGCTGCTGTCTTTTCTGTACATGGAAATCTGTTATGAATGCAGTTTCTTGTTCAACTTCTGTGCAGTATGTATGTTTTTCTGTCGTCTTTTCTAATGTCTTATATGTTGTCTTCCTCCTTTTGGCCAGAGGGAAGGATGTTTCTTGTCAATGTTTAAAACAGAATCTTTATTGAGTTGAGTGCATGTTTGGAGGCTTGATAGGTCAAATAGGCTAAATTTGATAGTAGAAGATTGGAAAGTTAGCAGTTTCCTTTGAGAGCTGCCTTTTCCTTTAATGGTGACAATTGTGAGTGATATTCTAGACCATGAATCTCCAAACACAACAACGTGTCCCCCAATCAGAACTTGCTGCTATCATAGCCGTGGTGCCATTGCTGCTGGTGCTGATAACCACCATAAAAGGTTTGGAGAATCCTGCTGTAAATATATTGCCTAGTTGTAGTAAAAATATTGAGCAGATTCATTTCTACCCATTACAGAATGCTGGATAGGAGGCATGAATTAGTTTGAAAAAAATAAGAAAAAACCCGAATCCAGCTTAAAGAGAATTCCTTTTGCCAGGAAAGTCAGAAAGACAGCAAGAGGCTTTCCACCCACACTTCCACCCTCCCAAGAAAGCAGTTAAAAATGCCACCATGCAGAGTGTGTTGGGGTAGTCTGGGGATTAGTAAAGGCTGAATATGTGGTTTCAATGACTGCAGATATTCTATCCAGTGCTGCTGCTTATATAGCTGAATTTATGCAGGTGTCCTCAGCTGTCACAGTTGAACCATAATCTGCTTTGTCTTCTGGAACAACCAAGAATTGGAAGGTCACAAAAATGCTTTAACCCTCTACCCCTTCTCTGCGTTATGCGATTCATTTAGTTCTTCTAGGAAGTGCACAGTGTAGCTTTTGTCCAATTTCTTTAAATGAATTTGTTATTTTAGCATTTTGTAAAGCTGAGTGAACATTATAAACATTTACCACAGCAAGTATTCTGCAGAAGAATTGAAGTAACAGTCTCAAATTTATCGTCTCTCATTTCTGTGATTGCTTTTTATATGATTTTCTTTCGTGTCTTTCCTCTCTCAGCTAGAGTTGGCAGGAGCAGAGGTTGTGGTTTCTGTTACAAGAGAGCACAAAGACTTCTTTTGCATTGTCTTCCTTTTTCCCCTGCTTGTGGGATAAGCACAAGTTATGCTGTTGCTGTTTGAGTCTCACGTTACTGTGGTATATAGATCGAGGAGCATGGATTAGTTCAAACTCTGCAACTGTTGGTGCATGAACAGACCCCTGATTTTAACTGATTCTCTTACTTCCCCCGTAACTCCTGGCCCACCCAAATGGACTGATCTGTTAAGGTAGCCCTCAGGACTGTCGTTAAGAAGATGCATTTCAGATGAGGCTTAACTTCAGAGGAATTAAAAATGTTGATATGAAACCAAAGTTGAAGGTGTGATTTATGGCTGCCAGTGTGTAAATTCCATTACTCACTGCTGAAATAATGATGATTAAAGTTTGGGTGTTGATGTGGTGTTGGATTCTTCTAAGGGCTGATAAAGACTTAAAATGGAGTGACAGGCAAAAGAAATTCTGAATACGGTGTGCATACATTAAGAACAACAATATGCCATACACAGCTTTTAGCTTACAAAGTAATTGCTGTAAACATTGGAAATACAGTAAACAATTTAACAGACCTTGATTAACAGCAGATTAAGTAATTTTATGTTTAATTTGAAAAAGGAAATGACATTTTCGGGACGTTGGGGAGGGGGAGAAGAAATGAAAATCTTATTAAGTAAAAGCAGTGTATTGAATCTGACTTTAAACTAGAAGGCATTTGCTGGCCTCAGGCCATTAACATCTGTAGAGCATTTGACTCTTTCAGGACTTCAGTTAAATAGCTTTTTTGGAAAATACAGCAGCAGTAGGCGTGGAGGCTATTAGAATTTTGCATGCATCTAAATGCCAAATGCATGATGCAAAACAAGGACAAACAAATTCCAGGCCTACAGTAGTGATGTTTGACAGATGATGTTAGAGGTGACACTAGTCATCTCTAGGATATATGTCAAGGAATTTAATTAAAAAAACAAATCAATGTACTTACGTTTTTGTTTTATAATGTTTTGGCCTGAAATAGAAAAGGTTATTCACAGGCTGTAAGTAGCAGTATATAAATTATCGGGTTGCTTTTTGGGGGAAGACAAAAAGAAAGAAAAAAAAATCCTGTTTCTAGCTATAGCCACTTCCAGTCGTTGCTATGTCTATCAATTTTTTTCACTGGAAGTAATGCTTAAGGTGGTTTAAAGCTAATTATAGCATTTTACCTATTGCTGTGCTATTGCAGAATATTTAATCTTGCTTTACGTAAAATTTATATGGATATTATGCTTTGGGAATGAAGGATGGAATATTCTTCATTGATTTAATGTGCATTTTTGCTTGCTATCGCCACACTGCTCCACAGAGACATTTTAGAACTGGAATGCAGTTATATTATCTCTGGATAATATAACTTTTTTTTATGAACATTATTATAAACACATCAATGTAACTATAATTTAATTATGAATGGAGAGAGGAGGAGATTTTAAACTCCACATAGAATCAGCAAATGAAAAAATAGATTAAAACAAGCCAGAGGAACATCATGTTTAAATATTACACACTGAGTATGTTTTGTCAATGGCACATACCTCCTCTGTAACTTACTAGTAATGCATTCCTATGCAAATTTAGGTTTCACCTGTGAAATAGCAGATTTCAAGTCCTTCCCCTAAATAATCTTGGGCTGCTTTGTTCTCTTATAACCAGGTTGCATCATTCTCACTGAGATCTGTGAGTAGAGAGCAATTGTCCAACACAGCCCTTGCATAGCCTTGCAAAATCAGTCAAGTTTCTTTAATTCCAGACCATTTCGTTTCAGAGATCGCATTATGGTCTATTAATGTCAAACTTTTCTGTAGTGCGCCTCTTTAATATGCAGCTTCTTTCTTAAGAAATAATATTAGTATATTTCATGAGAATTTAATCTTATAATTTCATTGAGAATATATGTAGCTGTTTTTATTGTATTATACATGTTACTTTAGAATAACGCAAGCCCTTCATATATTTTGTTCTTGGGTGCACAAGCCCATATTTTTCTGTGTGGGTCTTTAAAATTGCACTCACAGTTATTACTTCAGGTGCTTTTCATTTAATTTGAAGGCCTTAACAGTTTACATGAAAATTTGGTCCTCTTACATTTAAAAGGAAATTGCACATCTAGCACCTGTCACTTAGCGTCGGTAAGAATCCCTGTCTTGAAAGTAGGGTTTCCTTAGTACATTTATTTGATATTTTAGATTGGAAGGAGCCTCTGGGGTTCATCTAGTTAAAACTCCTGCTCAAAGCAGAGCAAACTAAAGTTGGATCAAGTTGTTCAGGGACTTGTCAGATTCTAAGTGCCTGGGATGACAGGGGTGCTACCTCTTCCTTGGACATCCTTTTTATGTTAGTGTTTAACAACCCTCCTTGAAAATAATTTTTTCTTATGTCTAATTCTATTTTCCCTTATTGGAGCTTGTGAGTGTCGCCTCTTGTCCTTTCACTGTGCATCTCTGAGAAGAGTCTGGCTCTCTTTCCTGCAGCCCTGCCTTTACAAAGTGGACGGATTGCTTTTAGATCCCCGTTGATTTTAATGGCCCTTCACTGAGTTCTTTTCAGTTTGTAAACATCTCTCTTGGACTGCAGGGCCCAAAACTGTAGTGGATCTACAGTGCCACCAGTGAGTGCCAAATAATTCCTTTCCCCCTACCTGCTGCTCCGCTTGTTAAAGCAGCCCAGCATGCAGTTAGCCAAGTTACCAAAAGGGTTCCTATCGATTCACGTTATGCTTGTCCACCAGAATCTGCGGAGGGGCATAAAGTAACAACATCAGTGAGTGAGAAATGAATCCTAAAGAATGTACATAAAACACCTTTCACTTCATTCTAAGATAAACTTTGGATTTTAGGTAAATTTAAAAGGATTGCACTAATGGATCAAATTATGTATTTGTAGTTGTGTTTACCAGTGTGGAGAACTGCATGCCTAGGCAAGTAATTTGACAAGTAATGGAATAGCTGAGCAAGCCCCTCATAGTGACTGAGTCATTATGTTTATTCCTTAGCAATATTTTTGTTAATAATTCATATTTAATAGTGCTCTACATTTTGATGAGCTATTTCCTTATCTGCTTAGCCCAACAGTACCTTTTTGGAGGAAGTCTCCTTGTGTGTTTTGCAGTAAGGTCATTTTAACTGCTTCAGTAGCTAATACCCGAGGAAGTCGATGCTAAGTCCTAATGACGATATGATCAACAGATCACTTCTCAGTTAAGCGGGTTCACTGGCTATGTGGTTAGTCTGGCAGGTACCAATGTTGGTTTCACAGTCACTACATTCCTGGCATTTAGCTTAAAAACTTTGCACAATTTTTTGAGGTGCTCCATTCTAGAAATGCTGTTTTTTCTGGATTCATTTTGTGTAGTACCAGCAGCACAGGTGGCCATGTCTTCCGCCCAAAGATTCATCTAATGCAGTTGTTCTGGAGTTGCATTCCCTCCCCCACCTGACGGTTTGACCTAAGTTTCTGTATTTCCTCATTTGGAGGAAAATAGAGATGAACTTAAGTAACAGTTTTGATTTAAATCCATCACATTTGACACTTTATCTTTTCACTTACTGTTTTTCTGAGTCTAAACTTAATCTGTTGGGGGGTAGGAATTGAATAAAAAAATGTTCATTTTGAAAACATAGTATCCATGAATTAAGTGTTGTAATTGTATATGGTCTTTTAACTTTTTAGTTATACAAAATATATTTATATAGTTTGATTTGTATTAAGGGTTGAGTTTTTCTGCATTTTTTAAAATTTGTTGGCCATCTTCATTTGGTTTCATTTTTCTGAGGACCAGTGTTCGCGAGAGCAGGTGTTTTTACTAAAATGCTATGTAACTGACTGTATTGGACCCTTCAGTATTTCTTCTTCCAAGATGCATTAAAATGTTTTTTATTTATACAGAATTAAAAAAAAACCAACAAACTGTGCTTGTGTTGTTTTAGTACATCCTCTCTAATCATGACAATCTAAAAAAATCACATATTTAAGGCCATATTCTTTTCATTCTTGGTGTTCATTTTCCAGTTGAATTTGTTAGTGAATATATTTAAAAACTTGATCTAATATGTATCCTGGTTCACCTACCATTCATTTTTCTTCCCACTGAAAATCAGTATTTATTCCAGTTCTTTGTTTCCTACCTTTAATCAGTTTCTAATCCATGACAAAACCAAACTCCTTAGTTTCCGTAGCAACATCTTGCAAGGGATTTTATCATTGTGCCAAATGATTAGTTTATTTTCTATTTCTTCAGTTTTCTGAGAAATCTAATAAATTGTGGGAAACAGCATTTTCCTCTAAAAAGCAGTGATAGTTTGTGTTTTTTCTAACAGACTGTTTCAAACACTGAATAACTACTTGTGTTTACGAATATTTCCCTAAATGAACTATATATTGGATTATGGCTCATTGACCTGCAACACCTAGGACTATGTCTACTAAAAAAGTTAGAGGCTTGTGTGGCAGTGGACACTAGTGTGTGCACACATACACACGTGTGCCCCCCTCCCCGCCCTCGCTGGCGGTTTGGAGGTGGAGCTCAGTATTATTAGCAGCATGTGTCACATTAGGAGGATTGCCATCTTCCCCCCTCACCCCGCAGTTCAGCAGGACCTGGGGGTGGCTCACATCTTATCTTGGTGATTTGTTTCCGTTTAGCAGCTTGTTGCAGCACCTGGTGATCTTGCTTACCCGCAGGTTCTTGCGCGGTTTCAAATAAACTTAAAACTGTTTTTATTCTGTATCTGGCTTCTGACTCTTGAGATTCCACATTTGCCATCTTCAACTCTGTTCCTATATTCCCTTTTATATGCTTCTCTGTTCTTCTTTATTATCCGAGTGAAATTTTCAGTGAAAATAGCCTTTCTGGTGACAGTTATTTCAGCTAGCAGGGTGGGCAATATCCCAGTTTTTGGGAGGACTTTCCTATGCTGTAATACAAAGTTATCTCAAGAGTTCCACACCCAGGTCTCTCTGTTCCCAGATTCTCACTTCCATTAATCAGTCTGCCCCGTGGTGCCTCCAGGGTTGGTGCAGGACTTCATTACTTAGATGCAAAAGTCTTTCTGTTGCTACTTAGAATAAAGTCCTTCTAACAGTCTCCTAAATTCTTGGTAGCATTTGTAGAGTATATCCAAGGACTGCCTATGTCTGTCTGGAAGTTATTTAAATGTTTTCAGCCTGTGTTAAAATTTGCCATTAGGAAGAACTCATTGTATTGGAGCTTAGGTAGTAGTTGCAACCTGGGATAATATACCTGCATCTGAAATAAATATTTTAGGAATTGGTATGACTCCTGTTGATACACTTAACACCTGTTTTTCCTTGGTATGAGTTTTAACATAAGATGCTAGTTTTGCAAGGTTGAAGTTGAGGAAGTTTCCTCTTCCTGTAGCGAGATGTGTGGCATTTCCTCATTATTTACCACCATCGGGATTCATCTCATCTAGTTTCTGCTGCATGCAATTCGGTTCCTTGTCTAAATTTTATCTCTAGACTCCACCAGGTATCAGTGGAAAGCAAATAAGTATCTTCAAAGAGCAATTTAACTCATATCATAACTACTTATTTTAAACACCTGTTGATGGCACTTAACTAATTTATGCAAAGCAGCTAACCTTTCGGTGGCTAAAAGCATGGCTGTATGTGCAGCACATAAAGAACTTTAATTTAGCCATGTGTTCTTGGAGCTTTGCTGTCCACCTGCCAAGTCCTCTGCATTACTGTTACTCATGTGACGTTATCACTGGTGAAGGAACAGGGTGGTGGCTGAATGTCTTACCCTTTCTATACAAGAGTTCGATGCTGTGAAAGGCAAGTGGGTGTGCAGGGATCTTGTGTGGTTCCAGTGAACATTATTATTCAGACAAAGATTGCATTGCCTGCATAGCACATAGGTGAACCCAGCTGAACTTCGGTGGGAAAATGCAGTTTGAAGCATCAAAGTTAATGTAACTGTAACTTCAGAGAAATTGTGTTGGTGACCTTTGCTAAGATTCTGCTACATTGTTGAAGAAGAGCAAATAAGACCTGTGGTTCTTTGAAATAATATACTTTTGTGGGAATTCCACCACTTTTTCCATTCTTGCCTAGGCTTGGAAACGTGAGGAGCTGAAAGAGGATTTTTTCCGTGTGAGGGCAAGGAGGAGTACAGTGCATCTGCTGCCTTGGAAAACGTTGCTTATAATTTCAAATTTGCACAAATTAAAAGGATTTTTACCCACTCTGGGATCCATATTGAAAATGTTGTATTTTTTTTAATTCAAAATTACTAAGGAATTCTTTTTCATCTTGCTTTAGACAAAAATCATTCCCTTGAAGTTATCTTACCTAAGGCATTTCTGATCATACAGATTTCTGGTTTGACTTTGGGGCAAGCGAGGCAGATTTGGGTTCCGTGAGATTCTTCTTCCCTGTGTCTTGCAGTGGAATTATTTCAGTATTATGGTCTGATTTTTAAGGAAATGTCCTCTTTTCATCTCTGTTTCCCAAAATCATCAATGCTTTCTCCTTCCCATTGTATCATTTCAGGTGTATATCAAAGTTATAGACACAAATAATCACAGGCCTCAGTTTTCTGCTTCAAAATATGAAGTTGTTATACCTGAAGACACCATACCAGAGACAGAAATTCTGCAAGTCAGTGCTACAGACAGAGATGAGAAGAATAAACTGATTTATACTATGCAGGGCAGCACTGATCCCATCAGTCTTAAAAAATTTCGTCTGGACCCTGGAACTGGCTCTCTTTATACTTCAGAAAAACTGGATCATGAGACCATGAACCAGCATATTCTCACAGTAATGGTAAATAAACAAAAAATTTCTTCTGTAGTCAATAACAAACAGATCTTTTTAATGTCTTTTTAATTTGTCCCCTTAATTCAAACATTTGTTTGTATGTTTAATTTATATGCAGTCTTTGTGACTAGTACAGATTGAACCTTGAATTATTACTAATATTTGATGAACTACTGAAATCACAGTGCTAATTACTAGTAATGTGCTGTTTCAGGTTCGAGATCAAGATGTTCCTGTAAAGCGCAACTATGCTAGAATCATCATTAATGTTAGTGACACAAATGATCATGCTCCATGGTTCACCAGCTCTTCCTATAAAGGACGGGTGTATGAGTCAGCAGCTGTTGGATCGGCAGTACTCCAGGTTACAGCATTAGATAAGGACAAAGGAAAGAATGCAGAAATTGTGTACTCTATTGAATCAGGTATATTGACTTTCTTACATCTTCAGTTTATTTTGAAACAATGCTTGCTGATACTTTGTTTCAACTGTAGACATGTAAAAAAATAGCTATAAAAAAGAGGGGAGTACAGGTGTATGTGTGGTATTCTGTGAGACGTATTTAAGATACAGCTTCAGAGCATTTAAAAGAAAACTACAATGACAAATATTCATCTCCCTCCCTTAGCTATTTATATTATCCTTCAGATACATTTAGAATATTTTAGTAGTAGTAGAAGTACCTTTAAACCCTTAAGAGGGATCTGTTCTTCAGAAATTACAAAAGCATTAAATTCAGATCTAAAAAAAGCATTATTTTTTGATAATGTAAGTGATATTTTGTGGCATAGGCAAAGCAAGGATTTGATGAAAAGAGTAAGAGCCTGAGACAAGTGCTTTCGTGTTTAGCACAATGTGAAAGAAAGGAGCTCAAAAATAACTTAGAAATATCCATATACTTAACCACTAAATAGTCCCAGTTTTTAAGTTAAACTTTCTGATAGATGTAGCAAGGAAGGGGTTGCTTTGCATGGTTCCCTCTGGCTGATTTTAGATAGTGGGACTGCTATTCTAGCTCAATAAAATATATAAAAAATTCTTTAATAGCTGGTCAACTTGGCATTAAGGCTCCTTTCAGATTGCAGGCCAGAGAAGAGCGTTAGGTGCTGCTGCTTATTTTTAACGTCAGAGTATCTTTCTGAACTTGCCTGTAACAATGCAGTTCAGATGATGGCAACTTTGAATAATATGAAAACAGGATGACATTGACTGAGTTCACTTACCAGATGGAAGTTTTGGTTCAGTCCACTAAATCTAGACACAAGCCTGTCATTACCAAGGTCCTGAACTATTTAGGCACTGTTACTGGAAAAAAAAAGTTATTTAAATTTTATTACCTATGTACAGTACTACTTTCAAGGTAGAAAGTAATTTAAAATAAAAATCCCAGTAACAAGCATAAGAAACTGTATATTAAAGAGAACAGTAGGTAAAAAGTTATTCAGTTATTGTTGCATGCAAGGTGATATGTGCAAATGCTCTTTTTATTTGGCATAAGTTGCTTTGTAAAGCATAGGAGTTGTTTACTGTAAATATTTTCCTTTTCTTCCCCCAAAGTATTGTTTTGCTATGAAGAGGTATTTAACACTGTATTAAAAAGAAGCTGTGATTATGATACTCTAAAAAGGAAGAATGTATTTAAGTCTCTCATAAGTTGCTTAAAATATATGTTTGTTTTCTGTTACTTGTAGAAATACGACCTTTTTACTAAGCACGACACTAATGTCCATGAAACTTTTCTCTTGCCTTTCCCATTTCAGTAATGCTTGTTTTAGGAATGCCAAAGCATGGCAAGAAAAAAATGTGTGTGCATGCTGTCTAGAATGAAGTTACACCCTGTTCTCTTCCTTCCTTCTAGCTTTTTGTAGGAGTAAATGTAAGACTTACTTAGGTTTGTTTTACAGGACTGTGATCTACTGGCAGGTTAAAGCATTATACTTGATGTTTTAAGCATTTGGAAGAAACATTCCTTAAATGTTTGTAATGGCTGCTTAGATTTGTAATGGGATATTCTAAGAATGCCACTGTGTTTAGAGCCTCCACTAAAAAAAAAAAAAACACGAACAAAAAAAACCCCAGGAAAAAACCCTCTTGCCTACTTGTATGCATAATTCAGAAGTTCTTAATGAATTTTTTCCATGCTGAGAACATGGCTTTAGTAATGTAATTTTTTAAGGAAGTAAAATGTTAAATCTTACCATATTCAGTACATGAGCTGAATATTGTATGCAGTGTAGTTCAGCTATACATTTGAAAATATAAAGAAAACAAGTGTTTATCAAATGGCAGCTGGTAATCCTCAGCAGGCAGTATTTTTTTTTCTAATACTATCACAGGGAATAACTTGCCTGTGTATTAATGGGAAGTTAGGAGAGAGAGAACTATTGGTCCAATTCAGAAACAATAATTTTGAAGCAGTGATTTAAACTATACTTGCATAAGCAATTAAGATTCACAAGTGTGAATTCATTAAAACACTTCTTTTTTTTCAAAGCAGTCTAATTATTTTAAATGTAACTTGTATTCCACTAATGTTAACTTCTGAATATAATTTTCTTTCAGCTTCAGTAGATATTTAAGTTGGTTTAAACATGAACTCAATGACAAAGATAATTTGAAGAAAATACGTAACTTACAGTGTTGAAACTTGAAAAATAGTTGTTATCTTTTTAAGGTTTTTTAATGGAAAATGAAACAAATTTTTTGCATTTATTTTCAAGGCTTGGATGGCTTTGCTAACTATGTTTTATGCAATGTTTCAACAAGTAAACTTAGAATTAGCGCTAACTCTTGATTACAGAAAACTTTCCAGAGCGGCTAACAAATATTTGTTAAACAAAACTAAGAAATTTTAATATTCTCTGTGTTCTCTCTACATGATCTCTTTTAGTATATAGCTAAATAGGCAATCATCCTTTAAGTTCTGTATACCTCTTTCTTAATTACCTTTCTTTTTCTTTACAGGGAATATTGGAAATTCCTTCTTTATAGATCCCATTTTGGGTATGATTAAAATTGCAAAGGAATTAGATCGTAGTAACCAGGAAGAATACAACCTGATGGTAAAAGCTACAGACAAAGGAGATCCTCCAATGAGTGAAGTGACCTCCGTGCATATATTTGTTACGGTTTCTGATAATGCCTCACCAAAATTCACAGCCAAAGAATATTCTACAGAAATCAGTGAAAGCGCCACCATTGGCAGTTTTGTTGGAATGGTTGCAGCATACAGTCAGTCTTCTGTAGTTTATGAAATAAAAGATGGTAATGTAGGTGACGCCTTTGCTATTAACCCAAACTCGGGTGTCATTGTTTCTCAGAAGATACTTGATTTTGAAACTTTGCCTATTTACACTCTAACTGTGCAAGGAACAAACATGGCTGGCTTATCCACTAATGCAACAGTTTTTGTACATCTTCGGGATGAGAATGACAATACACCAATTTTTATGCAGGCTGAATATACAGGACTCATCAGTGAATCAGCTTCAATTAACAGTGTGGTTCTGACTGACAAGAATATCCCATTAGTAATTCGAGCTACAGATGCTGATAAAGAATCTAATGCTTTGCTTGTTTATCAAATTGTTGAACCATCTGTCCGCAAGTATTTTGCCATTGATTCTAGCACTGGTGCCATTCGGACAGTAGTGAGTCTGGACTACGAGGAGACAAATATTTTCCACTTTTCAGTGCAAGTACATGATATGGGGGTACCACGTTTATATGCAGAATATGCAGCTAATGTTACTATTTATGTAATTGACATCAATGATTGCCCTCCTGTGTTTTCAAGAGAGGTGTATGAGACATCCATTTTGGTTCCAACCTATAAAGGCGTGAAAGTCATCAGCGTAAATGCCACTGATGCTGATTCAGGCATTTTTTCACAACTAATTTATTCCATTATTGAAGGCAACATTGGAGAAAAATTTTCAATAAACCCTAAGTCTGGAGATATAACAGTACAAAATACAACTCAGTTAAGAAGCAGATATGAATTAACAGTGAGAGCATCTGATGGCAGATTTGCAAGCACTGCATCTGTAAAAATTCATGTGAAAGAAAGCAAAGCAAGCCAGCTGAAGTTCACACAGAGTTCTTACTCTGCAACAGTGCAGGAGAATTCCACAGAGGCAAAAACAATAGCTGTTGTTACTGCTATAGGGAATCAAATAAATGAGCCTTTGTTTTACCATATTCTAAATCCAGACAGCAGATTTAAAATAAGCCCAACTTCAGGAGTCCTTTCAACAACAGGAATACCATTTGATCGTGAACAGCAAGAATCTTTTGATGTGGTCATAGAAGTGACAGAGGAATATAAACCATCAGTTGTTGCACACATTGTAGTTAAAGTCACAGTGGAAGATGTAAATGATAATGCTCCATTTTTTGTCAATCTTCCATATTATGCTGTTGTTAAAGTAGACTCTGAAGTAGGCCATGTTATTCGACGTGTCACTGCAGTAGATAAAGATACAGGCAGAAATGGAGAGGTGCATTACTATCTCAAAGAACATCACGAACATTTCCAAATTGATCCAACTGGTGAAATCTCACTGAAGAAGAAGTTTGAACCAGACACACTAAATAAGGAGTATCTGGTCACAGTAGTGGCAAAAGATGGAGGAGACCCTGCTTTTTCTGCTGAAGTTATAGTCCCAATTACAGTTATGAGTAAAGCTATGCCAGTTTTCGAAAAGCCTTTCTACAGTGCAGAGATACCAGAAAACATTCAGCTCCATAGTCCTGTGGTACATGTACAAGCAAATAGTCCAGAAGGACTTAAGGTGTTTTACAGCATCACAGATGGAGATCCTTTCAACCAGTTCACTATCAACTTCAACACTGGAGTTATAAATGTTGTTGCCCCTCTTGACTTCGAGTCTCATCCAGCCTACAAACTGAGTATTCGAGCAACAGACTCCCTAACTGGGGCGCATGCTGATGTGTTTGTAGACGTAATAGTGGAAGACATCAATGATAATCCTCCTGTGTTTACAGAGGAGTCTTACACTGCAACCCTTTCTGAGGCATCTGTCATTGGAACATCTGTTATACAAGTGAGCGCCACAGATGCCGATTCCGGGACAAACAGGGGGATTTCCTATCACTTGATTGAGGGTAACAGTGAAAGTCATGATTACTTCCACATAGATAGCAGCACTGGACTCATTCTTACAGCAAGAACTTTGGACTATGAACAAATTAAACAACACAAGTTACTAATAAGGGCCATAGATGGTGGCATGCTGCCCTTGAGCAGTGATACCATTGTAACTGTTGATGTAACTGATCTCAATGATAACCCCCCTCTTTTTAACCAATTGCTTTATGAAGCTAAAATTAGTGAACTGGCTCCCCGAGGGCATTTTGTGACATGTGTGCAAGCCTCAGATGCAGATAGTTCGGATGTTGACAAGCTGGAGTACTCCATTCTGACAGGCAATGACCAAAAGAATTTTGTAATTAATAGTAAAACTGGCATTATCACCATCTCAAACCTACGCAGACAGACACTGAAGTCACATTATAATCTTAACGTGTCTGTTTCTGATGGTGTCTTCAGAAGCTCAGCCCAAGTCCATGTAACTGTAACCAGTGCCAATATGCACAGTCCTGTTTTCAGCCAGAATGAATATGAGGTTGAACTAGCTGAAAGTGCTCCATTGCATACTTTGGTGACTGAAGTTAAAGCAACAGATGAAGATTCTGGTACTTATGGCTACATCACTTACCACATTGTGAATGACTTTGCCAAAGACAGATTTTATACAAATGAGAGAGGGCAGATATTTACCTCCGAAAAGCTTGACCGTGAAACACAAGCAGAAAAAGTAATTGCCATTAGTTTAATGGCCAAAGATTCAGGAGGAAAAGTTGCTTTCTGTACTGTTAATGTAATACTTACAGATGACAATGATAACGCTCCTCAATTCCGAGCAACAGAGTATGAAGTAAATATTGGATCTGATGTTCCACGGGGTACTTCTGTCATTAAAATCTGGGCATCTGATGCTGATGAGGGTACAAATGCAGACATCACATATACAATTGAAGCAGAGTCTGAAAATGTTAAAGAGAATTTAGAAATTGATTCATTGTCTGGTATAATTACTACAAAAGAAAGCTTAATTGGTTTAGAAAATGAGTTTCTGACCTTCTTTGTTAGAGCAGTCGATGGTGGATCCCCCCAAAAAGAGTCAGTTGTTCCTGTCTATGCTAGAATACTCCCACCGGAAGTGCCTCTTCCCAAATTTTCAGAGCCGTTTTTTTCTTACACGGTTTCTGAGGACATTCCAATTGGGACTGAGATAGATGTTATCAAAGCAGAGCATAATCAGACTTTAGTATATAGTCTGATTAAAGGGAACACTCCTGAAAGCAATAGAGATGATTTTTTTGTGATTGACCGACAGACTGGAGAGTTGAAACTTGAAAAGAATCTTGATCATGAAACTACTAAATGGTACCAGTTCTCAGTTCAAGCACAGTATGCAAATGAAGATTATAATGTTGTTTCCTCAGTAGAGGTAAGCATTCAAGTAAAAGATGCAAACGATAACAAACCAGTTTTGGAGTCCAATCCATATGAAGCATTTATCGTAGAAAACATGCCAGCTGGCACAAGAGTCATCCAGGTTAAAGGAACTGACTTAGATTCGGGACTCAATGGGCAGGTTACTTACAGCTTGGATCCTTCTCAAGAACTAGACATAATAGAGTCTTTTGCCATAAGCATGGAAACTGGCTGGATTACCACTCTCAAAGAGCTCGATCATGAGAAACGAGACAAATACAGAATCACAGTGGTGGCATCTGATCGGGGTGAAAAAATTCAACTGTCTTCTATGGCTGTGGTTGAAGTTACTGTTACTGATGTGAATGACAATCCTCCACGCTTTACTGCAGAGATATATAAAGGAACAGTCAGTGAGGATGACCTTCCTGGTGGGGTAATTGCTATCTTGAGTACAACTGATGCTGATACAGAAGAAGCCAATAGACAAGTCTGTTATTACATCACAGGTAAATCTTTTTGATTATGTGTCAGAATAATCATTTAAGTGGTCCTGGAATGATGTGAGATATAACTTAATCTTCCAAATTATTGAGAAGTATTAGAAGCCATAGAGTTGCAAAGAAAGAATGTGTGTGTCTTAATAAGAATATTAAAAACTTCAGGGCAAAACAAATGAGTTTTTGAAAACAGGTCTTTGGCTTTCCGTTTCACATTTGCTTTGCTTAAAATGCTTTCCTACATTTGTTGTTTACTTATATATCAATTTTTATTTAAAAAATACACTTACACTGAAGTTAGTGATGTAGTTAAAGAACAAACAAATTATCACAAAATAATAGACTGTTAATTTCCAGTGGAATATTTTATTGTTTTTGTTATTTAGCATATGTCTTGATATGATGTCATCTATAATGCTACATGAATTTCTACATTGATTTTTATAGATTCTGTTGGCTGCAGTTAAATTTGTTGTATGAGCATCTACTGACTCTTTCTACCTGGAAAATGAAGCTATTTCCCTATAAAGCCATAGAGAATGGCTGCTTATTTGCATTTTTTCTATTTAGTTATAACTTAATGTTGATAGAGTAATAGTAGCAATCTCTTTCTTGTCTTTAATTAAGTGTTTCTTTTCGTACTTCAGGAGGTGATCCCTTGGGACAGTTTGCTATTGAAAGTATACAGAATGAATGGAAGGTCTATGTCAAAAAGCCTCTGGACAGGGAAGAAAAGGATAATTACCTTCTAAATATTACAGCTACTGATGGGACCTTTGCAACTAAAGCTGTGGTGGAGGTTAAAGTCCTTGATGCTAATGATAATAGCCCTGTTTGCGAAAAGGTAGGCACAATTTTGTATCTTCTGTGTCTAGCTGCTTCCATATGTAGAATGTAAACTTTCTCTGAAGTTTCTTCTCAGGAGACTGACAAATAGGTATTCATTTTATGCTGGTAACAGAAATTTGAACTATTAAGATAGAATGCTGTCAAAAAAAAGTTATTTCATGGACAGGTTTCTTAAATAAAAATCCAGAAACAATTCATTGGTGTAATTTTAACACTCAATGGGTATTTGAAGAGTATGAGGAGAGTTGGAGTACATTTCTCCTGTGTTAATGCATACTTCTCCAAAAGGAATTGTTTTAAGCAGCAGCCGTGATAGTTTATATGCTCTATTTTCTGAAGGAAGCAAAGTCTCAAAGAAGGCTGCATACTTAGTTGATGTATTCATGCATTTCCTGTGATAAAAGAGTTGAAAAGACTGGAATATTATCCTGCAGTTGCACTCAACAGCACCAAAAATCTGTAATCCATAAATGTTTTCTTGTTACAAAGCCATCTACCTTACCAGATTTGATAGTCTGCAAAAATAGACATGAAAAATAAAGAATGGAAAAAAAAACAGAAAGGTGAGCCCTGCAAGACGTATAATTGCCTTATGAGAAAGCCCTGGATTTTCATAGTCAGCTTTGGTTTTTCACTTTAGCACATTTGGACTTTTCATAGCCGTCTTGTTGAACACAGATTTGACGTTACCAGGTGGAAAGGCAAAATCTTTTCTTGTTCTTGGAAGGATCAAGTTTACAGTGAGCATTTGATTCTTTTTCTTAGTTGATGGTTATGTTGGTTACTTCTATATAAATGATTGCAGTTATATACAGACTGTCAATGTAAGGTAAGTCAATGTTTTTAGCTTTTTTCCTTTGTTAATATTGGTGTTAAAAGGCTCAATCCTTCTAATTTAATGCACATCCCTGACATGGATGACCTGTAAGAGTGCTTAGTGCTTTTAAATTCTGGGTGTTTCTTTCTTCGTTTTTATTTAAACTGGAAGCTTTTATTTCATGCCATTTCAAAAAAGGCAGGTATCAATTTCTTCTAGATTGAGTCAGATCTAGAAAAGATGATTTACCAAAAGAGGAAAAAATTAAATTACCAAAAATTTATAACTCCTATGTTGGGAATGCATTTAATTATCAGTTGATCAGTTACAAGTGTTTAGAGTTCTTAGCTATGCAGTGACACTCAAGAGTCCCTATGGTTGCAGTATTAATTACCTTTCCAAATAATCTAATAAATGTGAGGTAATTGATTAGAAAATCTTAAGTTCTTTTCATTTTCGGGTATTTCATCCTCTGGTTCACTTCTTATGTTACCAAACATTCAAACAGGGTATTATCTCATCTGTCATTCCTTCTTCCCCTCCCCTTTCCAAGCTCTACTTATTTCATATGTTTAGTCTTTTAATGTAACTTTTCATCTTGCAGGCTTTATACACTGATTCTGTTCCTGAGGATGCCCTTCCTGGCAAACTGATAATGCAGGTATCTGCTACAGACGCAGATATTCGTTCCAATGCAGAAATTACTTATACACTGCATGGCACAGGAGCAGAAAAATTCAGACTCACTCCAGACACAGGTAATAATGCTTTAGACACTATACAAAATTCCAGTCAACATTTTATGAAATGTTTTACTATTACATTAAGACTTACATAAATGCCAAAGTCCTGTGCTCTGCAGGCTGCAGTAGACAAGCAGTAGGAAAGCAGTAATAAACAATATAGAAAATTTTAAATCAGATAAATACAAAGATATAGTGGAAATATGGAGAAAGAGATTAGAATACTTCAGTGGCAAAATAAATGAGAAGGATCTTACTTCGTGGGGGTATTTTTGACTTTGAATGTCACCTGCGTGCTGTACTAGAATGTTACGTAAATTCAGAATTGGTGGGGCTAGAATACTCATAAACAATATTTCAGAATACTTTTTTGAATTGGTTAAAAGGAGACGATGGCTACATATTGTGCCTGTCATAGTGTTTTCTGTCACGTTGGAAGGAAGTATGTGTTAGACTTCTAGAGGTTTGTCTGTAGCAGCAAGTTATATTTGATAGTGTGAATAGCTCTGTTTATTCATTGAATGTTAGAGGAGGAGAGTCAGCTCAATAGCTGTGGAAGGAACACAACTAAGTAGCCCAGGAAAACCATACGTGGATTTTACCTTGCATTTTGTTAGAGCCAGAGTTCTAATATTTTCATTTTCTTTACACAAAAACATGTGGATTCATGTGTTTATACGCATTCTCTCTTTTTCTGCACCATCAGGTAGTCTCACTTTAGCTAATTTCTGTTTCAGAGGCATTTGGAAAAAAAGACAGAGGATTTTAGTATTCAATATTTTAAAGCTGAAAAAGCAGGCCACTGACATGCTTTGCCCGAAGTGGAGCTCATTAGTGCAGTACAGCTGTTGACTTAGCCACTGATGAAATATCATGAAAAAGAAAATTGTTGTTTAGTTTTTCTGAGTACAAATATTTTAGAGGAAGACATGTTAGGGATATTTAAGTCTTGCAACTCACATCAACTTATGTATGTTACTCTTTTTATAGGTGAACTGAAAACATTAATGCCACTTGATCGTGAACAGCAAGCAGTTTATTATCTTCTAGTGAAAGCCACAGATGGAGGAGGAAGATTCTGCCAAGCTAATATTATTCTGACTCTGGAAGATGTGAATGATAATGCCCCAGAGTTTACAGCTGATCCTTACTCCATTACAGTATTTGAAAACACAGAGCCTAAAACCCTTTTGACAAGAGTGCAGGCAACAGATGCAGATGCAGGTATGCATTCTTTGACCAATACTTTTGTCATGGTCTCAAAGTTACAGTAGTGTTTATATAGTCTTATCCTGAGAGGTGTTAAGTCTTCCAGTGGAACTGACAAATGTTCAATACCTCTCAGGATTAGATTCCTGAAAGATATATTTAGGGCTACAAAATCATGTAACACCTGACTTTCATGTGTGAGTAGCTTGGAAAACATCCCTTTTGTGTCTCTGCAGAAAAGAAGAGAGGGGAAAGGGGCGAAATATAGGATATTTTTAGTGTGATAAGCTATTAATGTTATGATGGGTTAGGTCCATCCTTTTACTCCTGGTGTAAGTAAAAGGAATATCAAGCCATGTCTGTTCGTGTAAATGTGCATTCATAGATTTTGAATGTGTGCTTCTCAGGCTAGCCATTGATGATCATACCATAAAGAGAACCCTGGTCAATTGTAGCTTTATGTATATGCTGCCCTATTAAGATTTTTGCTGCCTCTTTATCTTCACTGTTTAATTACAAGTATTTAAGTGAACATAAACTGAAAATTACATTAGAAAGAGTTTGTTCTTAGGCTTTGTTGTCAGGATACAACAGCCTAAGGTCTTTTTAAAAGTATATGATTTCCATATATCATCAGTTTATTAATCAAATAATATTAATTAATAGTTGCCTCAGTCTCGTCAAACAACCAACCTGCTTTATGCTATGATAAAGCTAGATTGCTGAATTGGAAGGTAACAGACAGATGTTTTCACACTTCATTAGTCTTTGAGGCTCAGGAGGAGCAAAATGCTTGGCCCAAAAACTTATGGGGTTTTTGTTTGTTTGTTTTATACAGAAATATTGCTAGAAATTATGTTCCTGTTAATTCTGGGACATGGTTCTTAAATAAACTTACTGGAATTGAGCCTAGTTATTTGATGCAGCCTAACTCTCCCATATCCTCCCGTGTTATTTATAAGCCTGCTAAGCAGATGCTGTTGTACTAAAGTTGTAATTAGATTTATATTACTAATCGTTTCATATTAGCAGTACTGTGACTGAAGCAGAACAATGCTTCATGTTTCTTGTGTGGCAGAAAATCGGTGCAATGAAGTGTTAGCTTAATTTTTTGAATCAAATTACATCTTTTTGGAAACCATTCTGCCCTTCACAGGGCAGCCTTCAACTCTTGCTGAAATTTACTTTAACATGAATGATAATATTTAGCATGCATGTTTTATTTCTGTAGCTATCAGATCTTTATTATGTTGGTGTATTTTAACAGCTGCTTCATACTCTGCAATTGTTTTCAAAATGCAGGGACGAACCATAAAATCCATTATTCACTGGTGAACTCTGCAGAGGGCCAGTTCTCTGTAGATGAATTCTCTGGAATCATTCGATTGGAGAAGCCTTTGGATCGGGAATTACAAGCTGTGTACACCCTAACTTTGAAGGCTACGGATGAAGGTTTACCTAGAAGACTGTCTTCAACAAGTACTCTTATAGTTTCTGTTTTGGATATAAATGATAATCCACCTGTATTTGAGCATAGGGAGTACTGTGCGAGTGTATCAGAGGACATTTTGGTTGGAACTGAAGTTCTCCAGATCTATGCTGCAAGCAGGGACATAGAAGCCAATGCGGAAATCACATACTCAATAGTCAGTGGGAATGAACATGGAAAATTCAGCATCGATTCAACAACAGGTAACAGATTACAACTGTGAATATACTTCAGGCTAGCTAAAGACTGTGCCATACTGTGTTCTATAGTAATTCAACCAAATAGGTTATGTATAATCTATGTGCATCATCCTGGCTGTAAAACCAGTGCTACTGTCTGTTCACCCATTTTGCCAGCATGCTTACTAGAAGAGTGCAGTGGAATGTAGAATAGAAACTTTATTTGTTGCTGCTATTTATTGTTATTCGTGTTAGATTCATTTAGCTGGCAAGAGTAAGGGTTTTCTAGCTGGAATATTCCCCGCCCTGTTGGCAGAAGGGGTGGAAAGACATAGTTCTGTAATGATAGAAGCATCATAGTCTTTTCACAAAAGCTATATAATCAGAATGAGTGGCCAGACTTGGTAAAAGAAAGTTCAGAAATTAAATTGGTTGGGAAAAATAGTCATTGGTCCACAAAGACAGTAATTCTAGAGGCGTTTGATATGGCATTAAAGAGAGGTTTGAATATTCTTTTCAATCATATATCCAGCATGACAGTGGAGATTTTAGGCTTGCACGTTAGTCAGATTTAGCCTCAGGAAGCATTTAGGTTCTGTGGAGAATTTTTTCCCTATTAATGATAATTTTTTGTCAAAAATCAATATAAACCTCAATTCTAGTTTTGTTTTCTTATATAGTTCTTTTTCTAGAGATAATTTCTGGTAAAGTTTGGTTTTTTAAAATAAAATTTAAATAACCCAGAAGTTAATAGTAGTTAATTATACCAGTGTAATTGAAATTATAGTTCTTCCAGCTGTTTTTTCCAGTGTGCACACTGGTGCTATGGTATAGAAGTTCTTTGCCAGTTTAACTTCTTCACATATTTGAAAGGAGGAAAAAGGTTCCAGGAAAATACTTCCCAGCAGCAAATCAGTGTGTATGTTAGAGACTGCACTATCTTAACCAGTTGGTTAAAAACTCACACTGTAACTCAGATATTCAATCAAAATTCATGGTTGGACACTTCTGTTACTACCTCTGCATACTCCATGCCTGACCTTAATGCTGGTTGCAAGGAAAGTCAAGTTAAAGGTCATTTCGTTAACCATTTTTGGTTAATTTTAATTGAAAATTAAGAATAGGACATTTTCTAAACTCATTTTTTATTTTTCTTCATTTTTTTTCATTACAGAATGTGAGCCAGGTGGTTTTAAAGTATGAGTCTTTTGTGGTAATGGCAGGAACTTCTCAACTTTTTACTTTTACGTGTAAAGCCTGGTCATTTCACTGTGTAGCTGCAGCTTTACAGTGACAAATCAAGCCCTGAGGTAGCTGAGTATTTGTCAGACTAAAATCAAAAGTTGCAATATATAATACTACAGTAATAGCAGAGTTTGTGTGAGGGTTTTCTTTTTTTTTTCTTCCCTAGGAGCCATTTTTATCATTGAGAGCTTGGATTATGAAAGTTCTCATGAGTACTACTTGACAGCAGAAGCCACAGATGGAGGCACACCTTCCTTAAGTGATGTTGTAACTGTGAATATTAACGTAACAGATATCAATGACAATACTCCAGTGTTTAGCCAAGACACTTACACTGCAGTAATCAGTGAAGATGCTATGCTTGAACAATCAGTCATTACAGTACGTATTGTTGTTTTTTTCCTTTGAAATACTCTGTCGTGACAATCATGTTTTTAGTCTTGAAGGAATAAATATTGAAGATGGACATAAATGAATAGATAAGTTTGCCACTGAGTGAATTGAAAATCTATTTTGAAAAAGTTTCAGAACCAGGGACTTGAGATGCTATGGGAAAGTAGATGATATTTTGTGATATATTTGTGTTCTCCTCATGAGAACATGACTTAATTTTCAGAAGAAATTCAGGAAATTGGTATGTTCTATTCATATGACATTTCTCCTGTGAAATGTGTTAGACCAAAACAGCTGTGCTCGTCTTCAGGATGAGTTTATCTGAAAGACGACAGAGTCTATTTTGACGTGTTTTAAATGAGACTGTAATGTCCCTTAGGTTATGGCAGATGATGCTGATGGACCTTCAAACAACCGCATTCACTACGCAATTATAGATGGCAATCAGGGAAATCCTTTTACGATTGACCCTACCAGGGGTGAAATAAAAGTGACTAAACTTCTAGACAGAGAAAAGGTAGGTTTTTGATGCTTTTTAAGCAGTTGGGATTAATTTAGCTATACATAATTCATGACCACCATTTTTTGGTTTATATTTGTAAATTACCATTTCAAGTGTTCCGAAGTTAATACAGCTGTAACAAAGTGAAAGCATCTGTTTACGTCCATGCTTTTTGGGGTGGGGGGCATATGCAGGGGGAAGAGAAAGGACTAAATATATGAAGGCAAGTTTTACTGGGGGGTGGCACTAAAATATTTCTTCCTTAAAAGGAAAGCTGAGTTTGTTACTCTTTGCTCCTTAGTGAATGTTTGAAAATTTTTTATTATTTCTTAGATTTCAGGGTATACCTTGACAGTTCAAGCTTCAGATAATGGAAACCCGCCTAGACTTAACACAACCACAGTTAATATTGATGTTTCTGATGTAAATGACAATCCTCCAGTATTCTCAAAAGGAAACTATAGTGTTATCATCCAGGTAAATACAGATAGTGAAGTAGCCAAATCAGTAATATTATTGGAATGTTAATTTGTGACTTGAAAAATTCCACAAGATATGATAAAACTAATGCTTCAATTTTATTTTTCTGTATTTCTAATTATTTAAGGTTGTCAGTGAGACTGCTTACCTGAGTAAGTGTTAAGAGTTACAAAATTAATATTGTGCAGTCTATTTAGAAACTTACGTTGCAAGTTGAGCGTGTTCTTTTTTCATGTACTTCATGTGTGTATATGTATCTATATATCATACATTGCATTTATGTTTATAACATTCTTAGCATCATACAGAGAGGTTAAAATACATAATAATTTTGCTATTTCTTTTTAATCTTAGAATTAGTGCTTAGAAAAAGATACTTCAGGTACCTATTACTGTGAAGGAAGTGTTGTGCACTGTAGCGCGTAATTCAAGACTTAATTCCTATTGGCCTCCTCTGGGATCAGAAGCAGTTAGAACAGTAGTATTTCATATTGCTACATACCAATCCTTTGACTAATTTTGTACCTTAGGATGGTAGTAGTGCCCAGATTCTCAAATGGCTGATGTGTACTTGCCTGATTCAGTAAACACTCTGCTAAAGCAGAGATAGCAGAGGGAGCGTCTGTACTACTTGTCTTCCTGAATCCAATAGAGAATAAATGGAAGGGAACAAAGGAATTGCATTAAGACCTTTATAATAGTAACGTAAATAAGCTCAATCCCTTGGGTCCTTTTGCTGTTGCTGGTGCCTGGCCTTGTACAATAGATAAGTGGGGATCAGGCAATGTTATCTGGTGCACTGTGCCATCCTAACATACCACTTCTGTTTGAGACCGTGTACATGATTTGTAAAGGTAGCTTTCCGAAAGAGAACAAAGCGATTCATCACTACCCAACATATACAGAGTATGCAAGTAAGATGTCCTGGATCTTACTTTTTATTTTTTTAAAGCAACAGAGTTGTATGTTTTTGTTCTGTCAGAGGTAAAAATGTTAATTAATGTATCCCCTAAAACTGTAGACTATATAGCCAATATCCCTAATGTTTCCCTTACTAAATTAAAAAGAAGGACCTTGTCTTTTACAGTTCATTCATATCAGCCTGTCCCAGTACGAGGGTAGCAGAGAAAAAGCTGGAGGAGTTGCCCAAGAATGCTGGTGTGCATTTCCTGATATATTGGAGATGGACATATTTGGACACAGTTGGAAATGTGCTTAGCTATTATGAAAATCAAGTTACTTTAGATGTCCAGATGTAAATATTTGTATTTTAAAATGATGGTCCTTGTCTGCTTTGCTGAAGGGGGAAAAAAGGTTCAGCTGCAATATCTGATAATTAACTTGACTTATTCTCTCAAGAACAAAGAGTATGCTTGTTACTAGGAGTTTTTGCAAGAGTGAAAGGATAGCATTTTATTCTTGTTGTACTTCACAGTAACGTTTCTACTTTTTTTTGCATTTAAAATATGTGTATATATATATAAAAAAAATCTGGTCAATACAGTATAGCACAAATATTCTGGGAGAGGTGTTACAAGTGTTAGATAATGGTGGGTGGGTGGGTGTCTCAGATACATGATAAACCAAAGTGTGTGAAGTGTTTGTGAAACCTCAGGCATCCACATGATGCAAACTTGAAGGGATTTTATGATGCGAATTTTAAAACCTGGATTTAATATTTTAACCAGACTGCGGCTGTAGCAGCCACAATTATAGTCAGAACACTAATTAGGGACACAAGGGGTCAGATGGAGGAGTATATTTTTTCTAGTCCTTCCAGCAAAGGCATTGGATTGTTCTTAATAGGTGTTTTAGCTAAATTTGAAGTCTTTGAGGACTTGGTAATTAATCTACAGTAATCTTAATTCAGACCAAAAGTGGAAAATGTAAAGTTTCAAGGCTGAGCTACTTTTAAAAATATAAGACAAAGTTTAAAAAAAACAAAGTTTTTCCTTTTTCCTGCCTTTCTCCTTTTACTGTTTTCATCGTTATTCTCAGAGGGTAGTATTTTTCCTTAAACAATATTGTCATTCTGATTCCTGTTGTACTAATTAACTGGTTTGACAGTAATTTGATTTTTTTTTTTCCCTGTTGTGAAAAAGAAATCAACGTTAGGCTATATGCTCAATTATAACAAAACCCATGTGATCATATTATGCATTTATAGGAAAATAAGCCTATTGGATTTAGTGTGCTACAGCTAGTGGTGACGGACAAGGATTCTTCTCACAATGGCCCTCCTTTTCTCTTCACCATCCTGAGTGGAAATGAGGAGAACGCTTTTAAGATTAACCAGCAGGGAGTACTGACAACAACTGCTGCACTGAATCGCAAAATGAGGGATCACTATTTACTTCATGTTAAGGTAGGATGCACTACCTCTAGCTGTTTTGCATTATAAGTATTTAGTTAACTTTTCCCACTCATGCCCAATCACCACTTTTTCCTGCTTACCCCTTGTCTTTCTGTTACAAGATCCTAACATGCCAAGCAGTCATTTGAGGCATGTCTCTCATGGTAACATCTTCAGAGACAATGTCTATTGATTTAAATGGAAATCTACACAGGTGTAACAGTAAGCTGAATTAAACTCATGGTAAGGGTAGGATGTAAGTGAAATGTTAACTGGGTGAGTGGTCTTGATAAGCCCTTTGCCTTTCATGTGGGATGCTGGAAAAGCCAGCAGGGGACAGGTCCCTTGAGCTGCCTACTTTTGGCTGCAGACTTCCTCTTGCCACTATCGCTTTGACCCTCGAAGCTGTGAGCTGGACTACACTGATACGATGGTAACAGGGACATTGAAAGTTGCACATCATGGCAGTACTGAAATATTTTTCAATAGTGCCACATTCTTCTTCCAATGGCAATTGAAAATATCTTTTTTTAAGTTTGGAAAACCAGGTCAGTGGACCTTTTTCGTAGCATTGAAACTTGCAGCGCAGTACTTGGCGATCTGAGAATCTTGCAGTGGAAAACATGGCATAAAACTCAAAAAGGTATGCCTTTTGGTATGCCTACATTTGCCATTGTTGTGCAAAAAGACGAGACCATGTTCCAACAATCCAGGTTACATTAACTTAGCTAAGTTCTCTAAAATACTTTTTTGTAACCTAATGTAAGAAAAGTTCAAGCCATTTTTTTTAATCTTAGCCAGTCCTTTTTAATTCAGTTATAAATTAAGCAGCTGTGAACAGGGGACTTAAAATTGGTAAGCTAAAAATAGCTGGCCTTAATTCTTAAACTTCATTTCCAGATTTGTGTTTTAAGAAAAATTCTTACCTTTATTTTTACATGAGGAATTTATTTCAATCTCCAAATTATTCTCATATGTAACATTGCAGACAATTTCTGAGTAAACATGCACTTGCAGAGTTTGAGCGTCAGTGTATACTGAATTCTGTCCACATTGGGATAATAATTGTGGTGTGTTTACACAAAGTCTATCTCTTTTCTTTGGGGAAGGAAAAAAAATTCCCACAGGTACTGTCATTTGCTGGCTGAGTCACTAAAACATGTTATCAGGAGCCATCAGTGTAAGAACCAGCCTTGCTGGAGGTTCCATTTAAATGTAGTTTAGTTTAGGGCCATTTTTTTCTCAATGGTGATCTGCTAATTAGTGGTGGAACAGATTAGCTTTCAATGTACCCAAGCGATGGCTCTGCTGGCCTTCCTAGGCTGCATGAGTCCGAAACAGCAGTAGAGCTGGGCTTTGTCACACTTGCCTAATAGGCTTTCCAAGTTCTATACCAATTCCCCAAAGTCACCTTTTTGTTTAGGGAAGAAGAACCAGCAAAGTTTTTTCTGTATGTGCAATCAGTGTAAAACAAGGTTCATATGTTTTGTTTTATATTTTCTCTAAGCAGTAAGTAATTTCTATTTATTTTGCTTCTAAAACATATTCCTATGAATGCGTGCACAGGTGTCTGTTCTGTGTAGACTGTTACGTTGTCTTTGTCACATTTCATGATTTATCTGCACCTCTGGCCCTTCCTAATGTGCCTGCCTTTTCCTAAGGCACGGATCTAACACCTTCCTTTGGGTGGAATCATGCAGTTCTTTCATTTCCAAGCCACTTCCTAGGCTGTAGGATGCTTGTAAACAGCCTGTCAGTACTTCAACTGTCTTCTCTTTAGCACAGGGCTTGAAAAGTGCCTTTTTTCTAGGGAATGAATAAGGGCTATTTTAATGGTATCCAGAAGCTAAACAAGTGTCTTAAAACAAATGTACTCATTTAGAACTAAGGCTTCTCGGAGATTGTAAATCATTAAAGCTAATGTGCATTTTTTGTGTGCTGTATTACCCAATCTCAGTATTTTGGACATGTCTAATCCCTTGATTTACAAGTTCCCTGCCTGGATTCTGGAAATATGTCACTGTCTTTTAATTCCCATTTATCATCTTACACTTTTTTAAATAGACACAGTGCTATAATTTGCTATTATCTTCTCCTTAGTGAGTCACTATACATGAGTATGAAGGCATCTAAGACTAAAACTAGCATTTCCATATCACAAGACTTCAGTTCCAATGATACACACAAAAATAGATACATGACTGTTGTAGAAAAATATTCTTCCCCTGTTCGTTTAAAAGAAAGATTTTTCAAAGGCTGTAGGAAGGCTTCTCAAATTTACACTGTCTTTAATTTCTGCACTTTCATCTTGCAGCTCACAAGTTAATGCCTGTGTATGATCTCTTGATACTCGTTTTTGGTTTTTAACAGACCTTCACTGGTGTGCTTTTCAGTATTGACGGCTTTCACCTTAGTTGCTTTCTGAATGGATTGCTGAGGCAGAGGTCGTCTTATGTTACAGGCATACTTTAATTGGGGGGGG